TCCCACTACCCCGCGATTTTTGCCATGATCTATTCTCTTACATACATCTCTTGAATATACTGCATTCTTGATACTGTTACCACCCTGGTGTAGGCCCCTATCTTCTCACACTTGGACTGTTGTAATAGTTTGGTTGGTCGGCCTGCCACAAGTCTTTCTAATTCCATCCTCCACTTAGTTGACAAATTGATCTTTCTAAATTAGCACAGCTCTAAATTTGTCACACACCCCCCTTCATTCAATTCCAGTGGCTCTTTATTACCTCCAGATACTATTAAAAATCTTCTATTTTAGAGTCCTTCATAATCTAGCCCCTCACTTTCTAATCTTATTACACCCTTCCCCCCCCCCCCCCCCCCCCCCCCCCCCATAGATTCTGCCATCCAGTGACAGGCTCTTCCTTAGAGTTCCTAGAACAAGATACTCCATCTCCCACCTCCTGACGTTTTTACTGGCTGTCCCTCATGCCAGGAATGCCCTCCCTTCTCATCTCTGCCTCCTGGCTTCCCTGGCTTACTTGAAGTCCCTGCTAAAATCCCATGCTTTTCAGGAAACCTTTCCTGATCCCTCTTAATTCTAGAACTTTGCTTCTCTTAATTATTTCCTAGTTATCCTACACATAGCTTGTTGGTTCATAGTTGTTCACTTGTTCCTCCCCTGTTAGTTTGTATATTCCTTGAGGGTAGGGGCTATCTTTTGCCTTTTGTTGTATCTCTAGCACTTCACATCATGTATGTAGTAGGTGTTTGTTAAATGTTTTTTGATTTATTATTGGTTGCTTCTGCTCACCTTACTCCTTCAGATCTTTCTCCAAAGGGCACCACATTGGAAAGACAGTAAATTATCTTCTAATTAATATGGAAATGTGAAGGGTCTAAAAGAGTCAAGCTCTCCCCCAAACACACCAGCAAAATTCTAAAATGCCACAAGATAAAAACAGGGACCAGGAGAACCTAAGAGAAATATTACCAAATTCCTCCATTTAGTCTAGGACAGCAGAAGAACATTAGCAGAAGCCTCTTGGTAATTGGAAAGACAGCTCAAAAAGACAGCCTCATGGGCTTGTATGGAAAGCCTTTATTCCACTCACTTTTTTTTGGTGATAGTAGGGATTCATAAACTGACTGACTAGATATCAGATGCCTCAACTTGTTTTTAAAAATATTTTAATAATTATTTTTCAGTATAATTGTTTTCCATCATAATCCTATGTATTTTATTTTATGTACTCAAAAACAAGAGTCTGAGAAGTCCATAGACTTTCTCTGACTACCAAGGAGGCTGGAGGTGAGTTTGAACAAAGGTTTAAATCCCCATTGAAGGTAAACCTTGGGTCTATTTTTAGGACTAGGTAGCTACATACTCCTTTCTCCTTCATCAATTGCTTTTCTGAATTATTGCTAGGCAACTTATTGAAGGACCTCTCAAAGCACAGTGTGTCTTTGTAGACCTCATGGATTGAAGTTTAAAGTATTCTTCGCATGTTACAGAAGATGGGCAAATGGTGTAACACGAAATTTAGATTTTTAAAAACTGTTAGCACAGAAACGTGTTCTTATAAGGATCAGAAGCTGAAATTATTTTTTTTTTTAGTCACTTAAGAACGGTCAATACAGTTAAGCTTCCTGATTACTTCAGTGTCCTTAGATAGTATAGGAAGTGATAATCTTTTTTATATTTCTAATGTTGGAAATTTCAGTCTTCTATTTCATACTACTAGTAAATAATTATGAATAGGTTTAAGCCAGATTGAATGGATCTGATCTTTTTTTTTTTTAATAGGGGGAACTTGATGGTTTTTATAAATTGAGTCATCGGCTGGTGATCAGTTAAAAAAAACATTTATTAAGCACTAACTATATGCTCAGCTAAGTTCAGGGGATACAAAGAAAGGGTATTAGTCTGCCCTAAAGGATCCTCCATTCTAATGGGAGAGACATCCTGTAAATAAGATCCCTACATCCATCCATCCATTATAGAGAGAGAGTAGTTGAAGGTAATGGCAGACCCCGCCACTGGGGAAACTAGCTAAGAAACTGAGGTGAAGAGATAGAGGACTTTTGGCCAAAGTGGATGGATAATCAGTTTGTACAAAGGTGCAGAGACCTAAGGTGGAGTGCTCTGGGTGAGGATCTTCATCTAGATTGAGCCTGCTAACTTTGAGTGACGTATATTTAGGGTTCTCTCTTGGGCCCACCTCACTTCTCCCTCTTGTACTCTCTCACTTGGTGGTCTTACCAGCTACTGTGGATTCAGTTATCATCTTTATGTAGATTATTCTTAGATCTACTTTCTAGCTCTAAAATGTCTATTGACCTTCAGTCTCATCTATCTGTCAGACATCTGGAACTGGATGTCCCATGGACATCTTCAGTTCAGTGTGTTCTAAATTGAACTCATTTCCCCCACAAACCCTCTCCTCTCCCTAACTTCCCTGTTATTGTTGAGGGTACCACCGTCCTCCTAGTCACCTAGGCTTCCAACCTGTGTGTCATCCTTGACCTCCAGTCTTTTGCCGAGGGCTGTCCTCTTACATTTCTCTATGATCTTCTCTTCCTCGAGTGATTTGCTGTCACCTCCAGGATCAATAGTAAATCCTGTATTTGGCCTTCAAAACCTTTCATAGCTTAGTCCTCTCCGACCTTCCTTATCTTTTCAGTCTTCTGACAGCCTTTTCCATCTCCAGTGATACTCCAGTGATACACAGATACTCCGTCCTCTTACTGTGGGGTTTTCACTGACTTTCCTTCCCCTCCTGCAGTGCTCTTCTTCCTTCAGGTCTATGTTAAAATTGCACCTTCTACACATGGTACTTTGCTAATGCTCTTTATTTTAGTGCCTTGCCTCTGGCAGTTAACTCCTTTGTATCCTGTGTATGTAATGTGGGTGAAGGTAGTTCTTTGCACCATTGTCTCCCCATTTACACTGAGTTCCTTGAGAGCAGGAGCTCTCTTTTAACCTTTCTGTATGTCTCCAGTGCTTATTACAGTGCCTGGCATATAATAGGCACTTAATGAATGTTATTAGTTTATTGATTAGGAACCCTAAAGAGGCCAACCAAGCTGAGTCAGAGAGGGCATGATATAATAAACAGTGGAAGGAATAGGGAATCCGCTAGAACTTTTTGAACTGGGATAGGGGAGGAGGGAAACAAGGTTGGACCTATTCTTTAGAAATTTCGCCTTGGTAGCTGAGTGGAAAATAGATTAGAGTGGGGAGAGATTTTAGGCAAGGAGTCTAATTAGAAAGACTGTTAAAATAATCCAGGAGAGAGGGAATAAGGCCTGAATGAATTATGATGGTAGCTGTGAGAATGTAGTTAAGGCACATAGGAGACATTTTATGAATGCTAGTCAAGAAACATTAAGCTCTGGGCAGCTAGGGTGATGCAGTGGATAGAGCACTGGCCTAGGAGTCAAAAGGACTTGAGTTCAAATGCAGCCTCAGACACTTGACACTTAATAGCTATGACCCTGGGCAAGTCACTTAACCCCAATTGCCTCACCAAAAAAGCAAAAACAAAAAACAAAACAAAAGAAACATTAAGCTCCTACTATGTGCCAGACACTGTGGTAAGCACAAGGGATTCCAAAGAAGGCCAACTTTTTTCTCATTCACCCCCATGCCCCCAACAAAAATAGAAACTAAACACCTCATTGCACACAGAGCCTTTGTTCTCAAGGAGCTCATGGTCTAATTTGGGAAGAAAGAGGACATGCAAACAACTATGTACAAACTAGATAACTAGGACAAACTGGAGAGAGAGAGTTAACAGAAGTGATGTACTAGCATTAAGGGTGATTGGGAAGGGCTTCCTGCTAAAGGTAAGATTTTAGCTGGGACTTGAAAGATGGCAAGCAGTTCATAGATTGAAATGAGGAGAGAGAATTACAGGGAATAGATTTTGAAAATGCCTGGAGTTGGGGGATGCAGTGGTTTCTGAGAGGACCGTTAAGGAGACTGATGTTACTGAATTTGCAGAGTATGGGTTGTGAGGGAGGGAGGAGGAAAATTGGAAGGTAGAAGAAGGCTGGTTTATGAAGGGCTTTGATCTTCAAACACTGGAGGTAATAGGGAGCCACTGGAATTTATTGAATATTCATATAGCAAGATTTAGGCATGTATTTTAGGAAATTTGAAATCTTAGAGGATTGACTGGAGTAGTGAGAGTATTTAGTCAGGGACACAAACTTGCAAACTATCACACCTGTTCCAGGTATGAAGTTTTGAGAGCTGCACCAAGTTGGTGACAGAATCATAGAGAAGGAGGCATATACAAGGATATTACAATGGTGAAAGGACAGCCCTTGGCAACAGACTGGATAAAGGGTTGGAGGGAAGAATGAGGAGTCAAGGATGACACCATAGGATGAGAGCCTGAGATAGATAATGATATTCTTGACAGCAATAGGAAAGTTACAAAGAGGCTTGGGGGAGTTGGGGAGACGGGCAAGGTTTGGATGTGATAAGTGAGTGCAAGTGAAGAGTTGAGGATCATATTAAGATTGCAAGCCTGAGTGATTTGATAGCGTGTTAAATTTAAATTTCCCCCTGTTCTCCCTCCTTTTCAAGGGAAGATTCTGAGTATTCTAAGCAAAAGTGTAATTAAACATATTACTGCATATATAAACCTCATTGAAAGTCTTTCTTTGATACTGACCCCCTCCCCCCCCCTCAAAAAACACAAAAAATCAACCTTATTCTGTTCTGGAAGATGTGATGTGTCACTGGGGGTGTGGGAGGAGAGAGACTGCATCTTAGTTTGTACCAGGCTATGAGTGATGAATTGGGAGGGTAGTGTTTGTAGGTAGAAGAGGACAACCTTGTTGGTAATACAGGAACTTTGGGGATGGGTACAGGATTTCCTGGGTATAATGTTAGCTTTGAAGTTTTAGCATATTTTGCTATGAATGTTTTGTCCAAATGGGAAGATATTCCTTTTAAAGGATGGAATTAACAAGTTAATATTTACTTTTACTGATTTTGTTCTTTTGTTTCAGAATTACACACAGCTGCTTTGTGACTCGTATTGGATTTAATTATACATCCTGATAAAAGACTGCTTTCAACTATGGAATCGGTAAATATTTTAGTGATTTATTTCTCAGTTTTTTATGTTTGTTGCATTGTTTTGCAGAGATCTTGTGAAAATACTGTATCATTTTACAAGTTATTTTTCTTGGGTCTTAATGAAAAATTTTAGTTAAACAAATGCCTTTTAATGTGACTGTATTGGAGTCTGAATAGTTTCAGCATATATCCATGACAAATTATTGTAGCCTTCAGTACTTTCTTAGTGATGGTAATTAGCATTTGGGTATCAACGAATAGCTTCTATTGTGTCATACAGTATTCTTCTGAGTAATTAAATGAGTGGATCCAAGCCTGTATCCTGGTTGTATTCTCTTCAGTTGTCTGAATCTTGTGTCGGAGATAGTTATCTCCGGGATATAAAAACACTTAAGACTGTCTTCTCAGATTAGGTAGGAGTGCATCAAACAGTAGGAGTGATTATTCTATCCTTTCTCAGTGTGGATTGACAGTTTGGGATAATAGTAGCATTTATGCTTTTGAGAATTAGTATTATTGTTTTTAGAAACCTTATAGGACTGATCATATTTTAATATTTTTGTTGCAGTATTAAAATCGCAGTGTCAAAATTATTACAGTAAGGTTGCTTATGTTTCATATCTACTTGTTTTAGTCTTTGAATAATCACAGCTGAAGGTGGTAAAGTTTTGTTGGCCCTGCAGGAGGTCTGCCCTGATAGTTTGTCTTGACTGACCTTCTTTGCCCTGGTTTCCAGTGCGTGGTGCTTCACTCTTTTCAAACCAATGACCACCAACTGAGCAGAATTCTTTCTCCTTTATCTGAAGGAAGAGTGGGAAGGAAAATGTTAACAAGTGATTTCAGGTTTTGGTTTTCTTAACAAGGTGTGTTTGCAGAAGTTTAGGCAAAGCAAGCTATTTCACATTACCATTCTTATTGCCTAATACATCTTTTTTTCCCCCCTCAGGGATATAAGCCTGTTACATCCTCAAAATTTGCCCCTTACCATAAAATAAATTAAGCAGTGGGGCCAGTTGGATTTTAAAATACATTCTTTCCCCTTTTTGCCTGTGGTCAAGGGGATTTCCTCATTTTTGGACCTCAGTCTTAAGTGAAGTAGTCCACTTGGAAGCACATTGTTGTCTTCTTATCACTGCTTCCTCCAGCCCCTTGCTTGTTGCCTTTTGGTTAGTTAATGTTGTTGAAATTTGTGCTTGCTGTGAGAAGGGAACTTAAATGATTTTGATTATATGTATTCTATTATTTGTTTTCTCTTAGTTTAGGAAGTGAGTATTCGCTACAAAAAGAGAGGCAGATCAGCATGTCTGAGGAAGGATGTGTGTGTGAATCTGGTATACCTAGGAAGAGAGAATTAATGAAATATTGATGGATCTGTTAGTTTTTAGAAGCTTATTTGCAATATGGGGTCCCATTCATTTAGGAGATTCAGGTGAATGAGGGTCCATTTGGGTTGTGCAAGTATCCATTGGTTCAGTTTATTGATTTGTTGAACACTTCATTTTGGATGTTTAAGACATTTTTTCCTATGGAAATTTATTATCTAGTTAGAGACAAAACTAGAAAGGGTAAATAATAGTAAAAAGATCATCTGTCGAGTAAGGATACAGGCAAATGAAGGATCATTGGGAGCAGTGAACTGATGAGGCTTCCTGTGGAGGACATTGGTGGACACAGGGTGTTGGTTAGTAAATGTTTGTTGATTGATTACTTGACTTGAGCTATAAGGACGGGTAGGTTAAACAGAAGAAACAGTGTAGGAAACTGAAATAAGCAAGTCCTATTTAGGTGTGTTTAGAGGGTTATTGTGACTGAAGGACTTTGTGCTGAGGAGTAGCCTAAAGATCGACTTCTGATTTTGAGGTCCTTGGGATTTTATTTCACTAGGCAATGGGAATCCATTGAAAGGTGTTTTTTTTTTTAAATGGTGTGGGGAGCGTTGATATTATTAAAACTAAGTATAACCACATTTGACTGAATAATAGACATTTTGAGAGTAAGGTAAGAAATTTTTGCTTTCCCTTCATCAATAGTATTTCACATAATTAAAAAGAAAGGATTTCCTTGACAAAAAGAAAGCAGTGTATCAGGACGTCTTCCTACTGTACTGCCTTAAATTCAAGTTATAAAGAGCTCTTCTGAAAGGTTATAGTAGATATTTTGTTAACAGATTTCTATCTAGAAACCTTTTATGACATGGAAAGTGTTACCATTCTTTCAATGCAGAATGTTAATCAGTTTAGGATGTTTAGTGCCATCTGTCACTAAAATGAAAGTCATTCAGATGTTAGTGGCTCTTTGGTCCTTTTTGACAGTATTTGAATTGGAATGGGTGCATCTCCTTTTTGGAAAAAGTCACTGACTGCTGTTTTAAGACATTCATAACTTGTTTTCCTAATGGAGTTGGGTGTATGGATATTTCATATAAATCAGTTTATGCACATGTGTTGTGTCTGAAGCCCAGGGCTGCGGCTCCCCCCTCCCCTCCCCCCTTTCCCCTTTGTGCACTCTGCAAAAGCAAGGATTGTTTCACTTCTTCTCTGTATCCCAAGGATTTAGCACAATTCTTGACTCAGGCTTGTTGATTTATTGGCCCAGCCACACTTAACTTGGTCCCTCTTGTGTTTAGTGATATTCATGAAATAGGGTGAGGGTGTGTGGTCACCAAACACAGTGAGTGGAGTTAGGCAAGCTCATTTATGTGGGAATTCAAACTAGGACATTGGGAGACCATAGACTCAGTGAGCTTTCTGCTGCTCTTCCTCTCTCTACCTTGAGAACTATTGAGAAGAGGGAAGATCATTGGGACTAAGCATTTTGTAAGCACCCACTATATTTTAAGCACTGTGCTAAGGCTTTACACTTATTAATTCATTTAATCCTCACAACAACCCTCAGAGAGAAATATCCTGTTTTTCTTAGATTAGTATCTCAGTGCCTTTTTACTTACAAGTATAAGAAAGAATTTCTTATAAGGTGTTAATGTGGACTTTCTCTGGTTCCTTTTGTCATGTCTTTTTCTATAATGTGTGTGTGTGTGTGTGTGTGTGTGTGTGTTTCTGAAAAAAATAGCATTGAGCTATGGTACTATGAGAAATTTAGATGTAAGGGAAAGCGTTTTGATGCTTTCAGGCTTATTAGGTCCCTCAAATGGACATTCTTTAAAAATAACATTTTTTTCCATCTGGCCATTGTTTAGGGGTGATTTTTCATAAAGGAAGAGGAATAGCCTAGATGCTCCTTCAAGGTTCCTTTCTAGCCTCAATATTTGTTGATCTCATGTGCTATATAGTAGTTTTGACCTTTGTTTAGTTTAGCTCCCTAGTTTAACCTGACAGCTGGTCTAATTCTCATTCCTTTAACATCTTCATTAAAGAAACGGAGGAAGAGGGGTCGAGTCTTATCCAGAGAAACAATGAGATTGAAATGGTTTTTGAAAGTATTTTTTTTTTTTGAGTACACAGTTTTATTGGGTTTGTAATGAACATGTAGGTATAAGGTGGGGCTGCTAAACAGCATTGCTTTTCAGAATTTACCTACTAAGAAACATAAAATTGTGAAGCTTAAATTTATTGTGAAAAGGCAATTTCAAAGCATTTGTCCAAAAAGTAATGGGTTTTGAAAGCTGCATATTCTAATGAAGGCAGCATTATTTATATGAAAAATTTTTTTTGGTATTTAAACTTAACATTTCCGTTAAAAAATATGTAACTAGTATGACTAATATTTAAATGTGTGTTGATTTGCCTAGGAATAAGACATTGAATATTGTAGAATATCAGAAGGGTTAAATTTGTAATTTCTTTTAGGATCATGAGATAAGTTGTTCTGGCAGTATTTGCTGATAGTCATACAGACTTTGTTTTGTTTTTGCTTTTTGGTGAGGCAACCAGGGGTTAAGTGACTTTCCCAGAGTCACACAGCTAGTAAGTGTAAAGTGTTTGGTCTGAGGCGGGATTTGAGCTCAGGTCCTCCTGACTCCCAGGCAGGATCTCTGTCCACTGCCCCACCTAGCTGTGGAGTGGGGGGGGGGGAGGCAGCGGTGGTGGCACTTTGAGAAGAAAAGCATGCTTATAAAACCTGGATTGGTACTGCCTTCAGCCCTTGGTTCTTCAGATCTTGGGGCACATTGAAATAGATCAGGAGGCAGGTATTCTGTTCCTTAATAGGCGATGGATTGGTGGGAGCCTGAGTTTCCTCAGCCAAAGAAAAACTCCTTCATTTTATGTGCTGTTGATCAGATAAATCAATCAAGCCAGCACATATTAAGAACCTGCTATGTGTTAGTTGCTGTAGTTGTCTCTAAGGATAGAAATGGAAACCTGCCTTGTGAGTAGCTTACATTCTGTTGTGGGAGATGTGTACATACAAGCTCTGTTTAACTTTTTTTTTTTACCTTATATAAATAAATTTATTTGATTCTCAGAACATCTGTTTGACTTTTCAAGCCCTGTGCAACCTAGTCTTCTTGGACATCATTACCCCTTCCATATTCTGCATCTACCCAAACTGGTCTTCTCTCTGTACCTCACACAGGTCTTCCATCTCTGTTCCTTTGTACTCCTACCTCTGTCTCTGTAACTCTTTTTATTTTCATTCAATTTCTATTTTTTCCAATTACCTGTAAAGACAGTTTTTAACTTTTTTTTTTTTAAAGAGGCAGCGGGGATTAAGTGACTTGCCCAGGGTCATACAGCTAGCTAGTAAATGTCTGAGACCAGATTTGAACTCAGGTCTTCCTGACTCCAGGGCCAGTACTCTATCTACTTTGCCACCTTGCTGCCCCAACATTCATTATTTTAACTTCATGGTTCTTTCTTCCTCCCCTCCCAACTTCTGAAAACAATAATCAATTTAATAATAGATTATATATGTGCAATCATGTAAAACATATTTACATATTAGTCATATTGTGAAAGAAGAAACAGACCAAAAGAAAAAAAAAACTACAAAAAATATTTTCATTCAATTTAGATAAGTCTTGTAAGGAATTAGAAATAGATGTCAGTATTC